TTGGAAATTATCCTAGTTCGTCTGGTTCGAAAAATTTTGTTAATTTTTATGTATCTAACAGTTACGGCAAGAAAATGAGGGCTTAATCAATATCTTTTCATATTTTTGTGAAAATTAATTTAAACGAATTGCTTGCACCAGACATTTAAACGCTCATTGGCTGTTAAAGATTCCATTGGCCAGTTAATTCACTGACATGTGGTTGACTACAATATCAGTATGCGAAGTGCTGTTATTCCACTGATTTTGTAGTTACAGTTTTTTGACATCAATCTTGTTGATTCTAATTTATTATTGCTTTTGCTAAAGAGTATAAATAAAATAATTGTTCAGTTAAATGCCTTTATTGTCATACTGTCAATGATGCAAATCTCACGTAAGCAGAATGCCAACAATTTGAAACAACAGTACACTGTTACGTTGGAAATCAAGCAAACGACTCTGGTCATCACTAAGTTCTAAAATCTGTAACGATTAATTAGGGGCCAATAATTAGTGACACGAAGAAACGACTGGTTTTTCCCAGTTTGCTGTTTGGTTGAAACTAATGAAAAATTAAAAATTATAATGATGGTTCCAACCATCTTCATTAGTCTTCATTTTCCTTCTCTGAAAATTCCTGTTAAATAACCTGATCAGTAGATTTCTACTCTCTTACAAAAACGTAAAATTTAAATGCGAAATAATGAGGCCCGGTTTTGTTATTTCCACTGACGCTCTGACAGCTAATTTTTCGTTTGTACCTGAACACCATTCTTTTATAATTCTTTGAAGGTACCACCAGGAAGTACATAATAACACGAAATAAAATTAAACAAATTTAAGCCATTTAACTGTACAAAAAATATCGATAAACGGGGAAAAGTTAGTTGTTTTTGTTAAAAACTATTGAGGATTGCAGAATTCAGTTGCCGCAAATTCGGCTGGCTTTTTGAAAGTTATGGTCTGCAGAACTTTAGTAACTGCGGAAGAATACTACCTCACCTATCATCAGAATCAGTTGATGCATTTGTTATATCGAGTAAGCATTTTCTAACTGTTCAGAAATAATAATTTGAATGCTGTTCAAAGACCCCAAGTGTCGTTTTTAAGCAGTTTTCTTAAACCTACTAGAATATTAAAATAGAAATGAATTTTTTCCCCGGATACCAGTTTCTTTTAATAAGTCACATAGTTGTGTTATAAGTTTTTTCTGCCGGTAATATCGGTTCTGTAAATTTATGGCAAATTTCTCTTTCAAAGTTGTTGCAAGTCTTCTCTGTCCTTTCTTTGTTCCTGTCCAAACTACCTTCCTGGTAAGACGTTGATTTCGGTAACCAAATAGCCAAAAAGTCTTCAATGGAAATACTCAACATCAACGGCAGTGTCAGTTTTTTTTTTTTTTTCGTGCAACAGATCATCAATTTTTATTTTACCGAAAAAGTGTGTCTCAGAATCTGCGATAAACGGCAACAAGGCCGGTAATATGATTACTCAAAGAAAAAAAAAAAGGCTGTACGTTTTGTTAAACCAAAGAAAGAATAGTGCATTTAGATTAGATTAATTGGCATACTACAAGGAGTCAGATTATACCGTACAGTTTCTTCTTTCTATTTATTCGTTTACTTGAGAAACAGTATCGATGACCCAGTTAACAGTTGGTTTTTTTTAACGCTAAACAAACGAAGTTACGTCGACCTACACAAACCAAAACGCCAAATAACCAATTATATTCCACCCTATTTAATCTGTATTTTATTAACGATTTTACAGTTGCCGTATAAAAATTTATTTTGCAATGCAACAAATTTTTCCCCTTAAAAAAATGCCCAACAAAAAAATACAAAACAGAAGGCCTGAACACAGTATGTTACAGCTTAAAGATCAAAAGGCCACTAAAGAGTTGTAAATAGTAAACAATTTTTGAATACGCCATCTATGAACAGCTGTTAGTTTTGTGGCATATACCATTTCCAGCGATGTCCGCTCGTATAATTGTTTAGGGTAATCAGAAACCGCCAAATGTCGGCACAAAAACACGTCTTTTATCGCTTCCCGGTCATACAATCAAACTAAAAAGTAAACTGCAACTAAACTTGAACTTCCATACACGAATCTGCTTTTGAACAACGTTCTTTGCAGTCTTAACTGCATTGCAGCTATCAATAGCATTGGCAGCAGAAAACTGCAGAATAAAGTGACAAAAACACTAACGTAACCGTATAAATACTAAGCATTTGTATACTGCTTAGTGTTCATTTGATTTAAGCATTTATATACAAACACTCAGAAAATCAACCCCACCATTGTGTTATGGCTTTTTATTTTACCCTACTATCTTTCCTCAAAACAAGTGCTGCTGCCATAAAAAGCTTATTGAAATATTCGAAATTTTTTTTAATCGAGAGCCACAAAGTTCACTTGAACTCAATTAACATTTTATATATATTAATGACCCGAGTTCCCGATAAGCGAAATTAGAAACAAAGTGCTTATCAAATAATTCAACTAAAAATTATAAAAAGTTGTCATCATTTTTGATCTCAACTGATATAAGCAAAAACAAAATCACCATCATTTCTTCTTCCACAAGTGAATAAAAAAAAAGCATATCATCCTGACTTTAGAAAAACCACTTCACCTAAACCCTTTGTTAAAAAATCCAGTTTCCATAAAAAATTGGTGGTACTAATTCTAAATTTGCAAACTCACCGTTAGCAAAAATGCGGGAAACGATACTAGCCACCTTCCGCCGTTAATCCTAATAACTTCAGATGCACTCCAGTTAGTTTGCAAAAAACTGATTGCCTGTCCACATCTCATATTATCTCACCTAGTCAATCAAATAATCAAAACGGCCTGCAGTTAGAGAATCAACAAAACCGGAAAGACTCAGAAAATCTGTCTACTTCGTCAACTACGAAATCTCCCGCTAAATTACTCAGCATAGACTTACCAACAACCACTAAAAAGAAGACGAACTGAGAGTAGAAAGCCACCACCAAAACAGCTAAAACTTCCGCTTTACTAAACTTTAGACCATTGTAAAGCTGGGAAGTAGTTCTCAAGAACTATCTATGGATTCTTCAGTCATTCAAAACTGTTGAACAAAGAAACACTTTATTAGGCAAAGATACTGCACTTATGCATAGATTTTAATTGGGAAATGAGACTCAATTTAAATATGTAACTAGTGAGAACATGTGAAACAATCACTGAAAAAAAAAAATGAGTGGAACATACACTCCAAACGAGAAAACGATGTGGATTTTTTTCTTTTTTCCAAAGAAAGAGGGATTTTCTTTTTTTTTTTTTTTTTTTTTTCTTTGGTTTTTTTTTTTTTTTTTTTTTTTTTTTTTTTTTTTATTTAATGATAAAGTTGACACTCGCCAATGCTTCAGTAGAAAAGCAACCAAAAAAAATTTGAAGTAAACGATGAAGCATAATATAGATGGGCAGTTAGTCTAGCAAGAATGGACGTACAGGCTGAGGGTTAACCATAGAAAAAAAAAAAAAAAGGAAATGACGATTAAAATAAAACCACCAAATCATAACACCTTCAAGAAAGGCATAAACTTGTTCATACGTAAAACTTATCATCAATGATTCTTAAAATGTTAAACACCTTGAAATAAGACAAGCTGAAGAACAGAAAAAAGAAATAACGAAATGAAATACACCTAGAAAGGATTTGGCTATAATCTGTGACCATATAAAACTGTCGTAACGTTAATATTGCGTTAAATGATTGCATGAAATACTTCTCAATTGGTCTAAAAAAAGTGGTTAACGGGAAGAAAGAAGTCTGGAAATATCGTTAACAAAATAAAACCATACTCCATACACAACAAAATAATAAAAAAATGAAAAACAACATGCACTTGTACAGACAAACGTAAATTTTAAAAGATGAAGCAATTGCAGGATACAAAAAACCGTTCCTCGAAACTCTTTCCAACAGAAATTATACAAACAAACGTAATGTTAAAACAAGCGCTGAACAAAAAACAACGCATTTTACATCTTCAAAGTTTCCGCCAGACGTTTTAACGATCCACTGCTTGGCAACTGGTAGTCTGGGCATAAAGTCTGCACGAAATTCTAAAAAAAAATTGACTTTATTTCACGCATAACTGTAAATTTTAAGTGGAAAAATAATCGTCTGAACTAGGATTAATAATTTCGGTAGTTGAGTTGGACAAGGCTAGAGCAATAAAACAAAAAAAGGCATAGGTGCTTTCAGTATCGTATTTCAACATAAAAAATGGGGAACTAAAAAGGGCCTCAGGAATTTAAGACCATACTTTAAATTCAGGCATTCCTAGAAAGTGAAACGCCTTGCTTTTTGCCATGAAACGTGCTAGAGCTTCATCTTTTGCAACACGTGAATCACTCGGTTTCAGAAATCCCTTCCCAATTAATCCCGCTAGCACAACATTCTCTGGCGTCTGACTATTTGTTCCTGTTCCAGACGCTTCTTCAACAGCATTATTTTTCAAAGAATTGGAATTTTGAGAAGCAGAGAGTTTTGAAACAGAATGCGAACTGCCGTTGCTAATTTCATCACTACCTCCTGTATGAACGTCTTTACGCATCATGCGGACCTTAACCACTTCACCAGTCGGCAATTTTTTGCTTACAGTTCTAAAAATAAAAATAAATTACGTGAAGTATAAACAGAGGAAATTAAAAAGTAAGCGTTTGCTGAAAAACAAAAATGTCGGTCAAAAAGAAAAAACTCCAACAATACGACAAACCCTGATGCATCTTGCGCAACAAACAAGATTGCTACTACAAACTTACCGAACAGTTTTTGCAGCGTCTTGCAACATCCGATTAGAAAGATGCCCATTAAGTGAAGACTGCCCCAGGGAGCTCTTCTGTAAGAGCGAGCTTGCTTGCAGCAAATCAGCACCATTTAAATTGAATCGAGCAAGTAAACTAGCTTGTGCTGCGTCCATACCAATTAATGAACTCAAGTCAGTGTCCATAAGGTCTCCGGAATCAGAATTAGTAGCTGAAAGGTAATCGCATTTAATAACGAGTTTAGTAAAAAAATTCCATGAAGAATTAATACAATCAAGATTCTTACGTTGTTCATCTTCTTTTTCATCTTCCTCATTATTGCTAGCTGCCAGCTCAACCATTGCTGCGAGGCGCTCAGAAGTAGACATTGATGCCAAAGTTTCTTCATCGGTGACATCAAAAAGACTAAAATAAGGAAAAAAAACAAAGATTTTTGGACATTTTTAGGAAAACTGAATGCACAGGAAACTAAATTCTTTCTATGAACAAACCTTAGCTTCTTTTTGGGGGGTGAAGGTTCAAAAGCTTTCTTGAGGTTAAGATCCAATTCATTCTGAATATCGTCAGCACTGTACTTCCTAAAATTGCCAAAACATGTAAAATTTTGACCACGAAAAAGCTAGGTTTGATTAAAACAAACCCGATAAAAATAACAATTGGTACCTTTTAGTAGCAGCTGCCGCCATAGGAAAGTTGTTTTCACGAATGCCCTCTTCCTCCCTTTGCTGGGCCTCCAACTTCAGAACCAATGTGTAATCGTCTTTATGGTGAGCTTTGAGATGCATCTTGAGATTTGTACTGAAGGGTGACGCTGTACTAAAAGAGCATTTCACGCACCCCACTGACTGAAAAAGAAGACTACTTTCAACTTGACAGCATCCTAACATTAAAAAAGAAAGAAATATGCAGGAAAAATTAAGTTAAACATCTATATAGTTTGCATCTCATTCATAGTTATATGCGCCGTAACTGTAACCTTCGTCCCGTCCATGTCCTTGAAAAATCTCCAAACGGGATGCCGCCTAAGGCGTCTACGCTTTGACAAGCACGGAGACTGGTTGATAGCGGGCAAACAACCCTCATCTATGCGTCCTCCATTCAATAACGTTGAATAAGTAAGGTCGTAATCTGAGGTAGACGGAGATTCTGAAATAATATTTATTATATCTTGAAAACATCAAAAACGGGAGTACTGCAAAGAATAACTTTTTCCCAACTTTTAAAATCCAAAAAACTTTCATGCAAAAATCATACCAAGAATGTCATTTTCTGCAGCAGGTGACGCTGGAGTAGCTGGAGTGGTTGGTGTGCCCGGTTTAGAACCCGTATTAGACTCTTTCGAAGCGCTCATATCCAACATCCTTCCGAGTATCTGGCCTAGTGAAAGATCTCGGGCTCCGGCAGCTGCCAGGCTCAAAGATAACGCATTTGCTGACAGTTTGGGAAGTAGTGGAACGTTGCCGAATGATTGTTTGATAGGCTGAGGAACTATTAAAGATTTTTGCAAAGCAGCATGTTGCTGCTCCTCAGCTTCTATAACCTAAAATATATACTGGTATAATCTTCTGAACCTTTAAGGCTTTAAAAAGTATGCAAGAGACAAAACCTTCATAACAAATGCGAAGGAAAAATTACAAGTTTGTAAGTGTCATTATGATGAGTTCGTAAATGCACTTTCAGATTGGTACTAAATACAGATTTCGTAGTATAGCTGCACTGTTTACAACTTGCGATACCGTCACTGACATCAAAATACGGCCAAACGGGATTCCTCCGCTGCCTCTTTTTTTTATTCGGCAATATGTTCACAGTGTCTACAAGAAAAAAAAAACGAAAATTAAAAAAATTAAATGTTCACTTTCAATTACGGAAATACCAAATAACCCCTGTCATGGCTAACCCTTACTTCACTCCATTCCTGCTTAAAAAATGAATACTACATTTAATGATCAACAACTATATAAAGTAAAGAAAATTCTTCAAAAACTGTAAAAGAAGTAGCTTCCAACATTACCCCGCATTAAAAATATTCACAATGTGGGAGAAATGCTAGACGTAGAAATTAGAAAAACATACCGCTGCTGGTATTGAAGACGCCTTCTTTATTACTATTATCAAGACCAAAAGTACCACTATGCAATGCGCCACTCGTTCGTGCCTCACACTCCATTGCGCCTAAATCTGTTGATTTTCATTTTGTAAACTTCTTGAACAATAAACGCTCGCGCATAGAAACACAAAACTACTATCAGAAAAAAAATATATCACTTTCTCGGTAACGACAGTTTCTCACAAGACCATAATCCAAGAATTCAAGTAGTACGATACGGTTCATATTGTAATTCGGGAGAACGTACAAGGTAATTAGAGAAATTAATACAAAATTAGCCTTTAATTTTTGTTAACTTTTGAACTGTATTTATGAGCTTAAAAACAACACAAACATTCATAACTGAAAAACTCCTTACCCCTCGCAGAAGCCAACAAATTCCTCATCAGTGCTGTATTAAAAGCATTTTGATCAAATGACGCACGACTACTATCGTTTGCTTTCAAGGTATCTAAAAACAACCGATACTATTCAATAACTATACCATAACCATCATACCTCCTGTTTGTCGTGCTAAAAAATAATGCTTGAAGACAAAATGAAATTAGATCCTACCGTTACTGACAGTATTTTTATACGATCCTTCGTTGCTCACTTCTGCTGAGTCATCTCCAACTTCTCTCCTCGCGACATCCGCTAAACAACGATTTGTCAAACAGGTTTCTATTTTTTATTTTCAAACCATAGAATCCAACACTTAACGATTAATTTTAAAAATAAATGACAATTTAAAAGAGCGACAAAGCAATAAACCTACAACTGTTATCGTTGAATGAACCTTCGTTATCTTCATTGTCCTCATTGGACTCCTCATCCTTGATAGTATTACCCATGGAATGAGCTG